TGGTCATCCCATGACATCAACACAGTGAAGGATATTATAGCAGATTGTATACCTCACATAAGATTTTTCAATATGTCCCCTGAAAAGGCTATTCTGTTTGATGATTTATTACCAAGAAAATTGCATCGTGATTTACTTAATTACCAAATAAAAAAAGATTATATCCCAAAAACTACAATTCTATTACCAAGAACAGGACAAAGATGCAATATTGAGTCAGTTATTATTAACAATAAACAAGGGCAAAATAATCTTGGTGATTGTTATGAAAGTGGAATTGGAGTAGGAAAAGACATTGAAAAGGCTATTGAACTGTACAAACAAGCAGTTGAACAAGGAAATGCTGTTGCACAGTATAAATTTGGCTATTGCTATGAGCATGGAATTGGAGTAGAGAAAGATGCTGAAAAGGCTGTTGAATTATACCAACAAGCAGCCAAACAAGGACATGCTGATGCACAGAATTACCAACAGGCAGTTGAACAAGGAAATGCTGCTGCACAATCTAGTTTAGGTTATTGCTATCAGCATGGATTTGGAGTAGAGAAGGATGTTGAAAAGGCAATTGCATTATACAGACAGGCAGTTGAACAAGGAAATGTTGCTGGACAGAATAATCTTGGCCTTTGCCATCAATATGGAATTGGAGTAGAGAAAGATGCTCAAAAAGCAGTTGAATTATATCAAAAAGCAGCTGGACAAGGGAGTGCTGCTGCACATTGTAATCTTGGCTTTTGTTATCAACGGGGAATTGGAATAGAAAAAAATGTTGAAAAAGCAGTTGAATTATACCATCAAGCAGCTGAACAAGGAAATGCTGATGCACAGTATAGTCTTGGCTATTTTTATCGACATGGAATTGGGGTAGAGAAAGATGCTGTAATGGTTGTTGAATTATACCAACAAGCAACTGAACAAGGGCATGTTGCTGCACAGAATAGTCTTGGTTATTGTTATCACAATGGAATTGGAGTAGAAAAAGACATTGGAAAAGCAGTTGAATTATTTCAAAAAGCTGCTGAACAAGGAAATGTTGATGCACAGAATAATCTTGGGTATTACTATTACAAGGGAATTGTGGTTGATAAAGATGTTCAAAAGGCAGTTGAATTATATCAAAAAGCAGCTAAATGGGGGCATGCTAATGCACAGTGTAATCTTGGGTATTACTATGAAAATGGAATTGTAGTAGAGAAAGATGTGCAAGAGGCAGTTAAATGGTATCAAAAAGCAGTTGAACAAGGAAATGCTGATGCACAGTATAGTCTTGGCTGTTATTATCAATATGGAACTGGGGTAGAAAAAGATGTTGAAAAGGCAGTTGAATTATACCAACAAGCAGCCAAACAAGGACATGCTAATGCACAAAATAAACTTGGTTCATTGCTTATAGAAATGGAATAGAGTAGGAAATAGATGTAAAACAGTAAATTATATCAAAAGTCGTTGCCATATTTAGGGGTAGGCTAAAGCGGAGCAGATTCTGTGCCACAGCTGCTGCAGATCGCCACAATCATCACAAGCGCCACCACAAATTTGGGTATCATGTGATATCAGATCACAAAGTTTCAATTATTTGTTTCGAAAACAAAGTTACGCGTCGGTTTTAGATTACGATGATACATTCAGCTTTAACGTTACAGAACGTTTTGTATTTGAAACCCTTTGTCTGCTGGGCTTTATTATAATATCAATTTTGAAACTTGAATACGGTGTTTGAACTCAAGTCGGGTGAGTTGACTCTTACGAGTTAACTTAAACGCTTTAACTGACTAGCGCGCTATTTGTGTTTTTATTTACGACAGGATAAAACATCAGGAGATGTTAGAACGATGGAAATGTTTTAGAAGAACACTTTGATATTATTACAAAGACATCTATCAATGTCATAACAAAAGGGATGGGGTGGTTTCAAAACAACTATAAATTAGATAGCTAAGTAGTGATATTCTGACAACGAAAAACTTTCATATACAAAGTCATAGTGACAGACACATAAACGATCAATAAATAATTTTCAATCACAATCTTGTTTTATTTCTGATTTTGTTTCAATAATGGATACCATCGATAATATCACTCCTAACGAAAAGCGAATGCGCCTGTTTAACGTGAATGAACCGATTGAACTTTCTATCGAAGAATTTGAAAAAAATTGGTGGCCATTGGTAACAAACATGCACAATATAATTCTTACAAACACGATTTCTGGAGAGGTTATGCTTGCCGCTTGGCTAAGCATCGAGAATCAAGCACGCGACAGGAAGGAGTATTAGTTGATAAGCGTAATGCCAAGATCAAAATCGCATGGCTAATATCCTCGCAAGTCGTTCAAATCGAACGTTATAAGGATTCTCCTGATCATACACATCATATACAAGATATTGACAGATAAAATGTCCACAAGCGATCCGAGATTTGATTGAACAGGAGGCTAAGAAAAACTATCCGTCACCTGCAATTGTAAACGCTGTAAAAGAATAAGGCACTGACTGCCTCAGCCTCGGTTCAACTGTGCAGGAATTAAAGCGAAAAGAAGTAACAAATATTAAGCATAAAGTTCGGGAGCTAAATAAAAGTTTGCCGCATTATTACCATTCGCTAATTTACTATAATTCACATTATAAGAATACCTCAAAATTATCAAATCAACAACAAAGGGATTGAAGTTAACGAAGAGGCGAAGCCTCTTGACTACTTATGACTCGAGTTTGCATTGAAATTGTTGGAATATGGTTAGACTGTAAATGTTGATCCGATCGTATGATGATTGCATTTAGAATGTAAACATGACTATTGATCTAACCATCGATTACAATCTGACAGTTAAACGAGACTAAAACTTTACGATATTTGACCTTTAATAGTGTGATACGAATGCTTCGATACTTGACATCAGTTTCAAATGCTAAATTTAAACATAATTCATATTTGATAGTTGAAGACATTTGCCTCTACACTAATGATGACAGAAACATCGAGCCGAGCAAGTTGTCATATGAATAGATTGTCATAATGAAAATGTATGCGGAGGGGATAGTGTAAAGAATCATAGATGCAATTAACAACGATGTAATATGGTATTTTTTACAGGTTTGTGAAATGCTAGTTTATCTTCAGTATTTTAACGAAACTCCTGGAGAGTGGGACAACGAATTTGGTCTCGTTTGCAGTATTTCAAAGAAAATGATCTTTTACCTATCGAGGGTAAAAAATACTTTAATACAAGAAAATTGATACGCTTTCAAAATGGTACATCATACACTCCTACGATCTGTTTGTCTTGCAACAAATTGGTATATACTGGGAAATGTATTAAAAATATAGAGAATCATTGGAAATCTTTATGTAAATATTGTAAATTAAAGTATGAAAATTGAACGAAAATCCGAACTCGATCGTACGTTTGACGAAAGTTATGCATTGCATTATTATAAATTATGGATGTCAAATGCTATTAGAAGATTTAAACGAGCAAGGAAAATCGGAAAAATATGCGAGCATGTGTCCTTATTCAACGTAAATTGGATAGAATTCATGTATCATCCCAATAGTTTAATTGTAAAGCAGTTAGCTGAGCGTTACAAACTGTTATGCGTCGCTTAAGTAATGTCAGAATACCATAATAATACTTCGAAAAAGCGAGATAATCGCAAACGTGCGCTTTACGCGTAATTAGAAGGAAATATTCACATATATATAATTTAATAATCTTCATGTCTCATTCTATTCCTCTAATTTCGAAACATGGTCCCAACCCAAACGAACATAGGGAAAATCCTCTTTCGCTCTAGTCAAGTCATTTACAATAAATTGCCGGCCTTGCAAATTTTTATCGATTATGTCAACAGCGTTACGCCATTTTTTTTTTGTATAACGCCTAACAATATCATCAACCAGTTCATCGTATGTACCAGCTCCATTAAAACTACAATATAATCTAAATTTTTCTTATTAATTTCGGACAGTCGAAAAAGCTTTGAGTTACGTAGATTAAACTGATGTTGGAATGGCGTCCCTCAATAAAGTAAGGGACGATTCTTTCCTGTAGGCTTATTAATTATAGGAATTTTAAGAGCGTGTAATTAGTATTAGCGTCAAACCACTGATATTTAAATTAATTACAGTAGTCACTAGTCTATGTTCTGTTGCATTGTTTATCACGATTCTTAACCTCCGTTAAGGTTAGCTCTTTTGTATATACATCAGCAATATTTTATTCTCAATATCTTCGACTTACTTTATAGTAAACAAAAGAAAAAAAGTTATTCAATGCAATAAAAGCGAGCACATTGCACTATTGATCTCTGGATGTCTTTTCTTCTTCGACAAATGCGTTACAAAGATCATAATCTTTTCAATAAGTTATACGCGTCCAATTAAGAAATGTCTCCTTATCTGAAATTGCGTACGGAATAACTTGGCTCCAAAAGGGTTTATTAAATATAACACATTCGGCTGAGATTGAAATTCTTCATTTGTAGCACAGCATAAACAAAGGCGGCCGTTATCAATTAATACACACGACATATACATTTATTTCTAAGTAATGTATGGCATAATTTATGTTCTAATTTATTATATCGCCTAACTTATCTAATTTTATTTATCGCCTGATTTTATGACCTGATTTTATTTATCACCTAATTTTATGACCCGATTTTATTTATGGCCTGATTTTATGGCATGATTTTATGGCGTCGTCGCCTAACCAAATGAAGAAAATGATCGACTTATCGTCGCACAAATATATATATAGAAATGGCATGATTTTTTGTGTAATACGTAATGGGGTATAAACGAGGGATAACGGATTGTAAAAGGGATATATCTGAGTGGGGTATATTTATATGGAATTGGAATAGGGGAAATTCGCAGCTGGGATATAACTGAAGGAGATATAACTGAGGTGTGACTGTATATCATCTGGTCATATAAATATCTGAGTATAATTCTGATCAAATTCCACACGCTTGGAAGAAACAAAGACTCTGACCAAAATGCGTACACAATATTTCGTATTTTTTTCTCTTGTTATTCTCTTTAACCTTGCACCCTTGGTTTTCTCGTGCCAAGTGGGCGATGAATATGATTATGAATGTTATCTTGGATATGTATGTTCAAGTGCTCCATCAACATATGGGCAATGCATTTATGGATGTCATCATGATAGCGATTGTCAGTTTGATACGACAGATACTCAGAATCAAAAATGTGATACGAGTTTGACGACATGGTCGTGTACTTGTGGAAACTATACTGTTTGTCCTGGCGATGGTCAATGTTATGAGGGACATTGTATTCTTGGTAGTTTCACTGATGTTGCAACTTGTGACCATCCTACTTTAAAAGTTTATTTCGATGGCATCTGTAAGTGGGCCGTGAAAAAGGCGGCATTATTAAACAATCCAACAGTTAAGATTGTTGCTGAGAGTTGTGCTTTGGCTGCATGGTTTTATCTTCCAGCGCGTTTAGTTGGAATAGCGTGTGGGGCTATAGCTTCATATATCGTTGCAGCTTCAACTGGTACAAACTATGCTGCGGAAGAAACTTGTGCTAACGCTTGGTCATCAGTTTGTGGGTTTTTGTAACCCTTTTCATTATTTCTTAAAGTGTTTGTTTACAAATATTATTTATTGATATAACCCCTACATGTGTTATGCTAAATTTCTTTTCCAATACTACTTGACCCTTTATGGATGATTTTTGATCTCTATTTGGATGCCGATATTATTATTTATAGTTATAAATTCACTATGTATGGTTAAAGATCGACCTAAAGATGGGGGTCGTTCTTATATATTATTATTCTTATATATGTATTATGTATTGTATATTATTATTATTGTTTATTACATAAAACGAGGACCTTTTTTTTAAAACGGTTGCGTGGGAACGAAAATTGCATTTTCGAGACTGTATCTTGCATGTGCCACCATATCCGAATCATTCTGATCTACAGCGAAGCGTTGTGAAACGAATTTCTTTCGATCTACAACAAAAAGTTCTGGAAAGAGCTTGAATTCCACTTCAATGTCGCTTTACCGCCTATCTTATGGTACGGAGAACTTTCATGGCCAATCCACACGGTTTGCTTTTCAACATCTTATATATTTGAAAACTATTTAGCGATTTCTTGATTTAATGGAGAAAAGTGTTGGATCTCTACATCTGTTTTCACTGTGTATTCCGTATTTTCATCTGTTTTGCTGAATAATCACTGTACGACTCTCCAGAATATTACTGCCTTGCCACTAAACATAAGAATAGCGACGAATTATTTTTAATAAGAGAAATCGATAATAACAACATAGCATGAAATAAACTGGTGTGTGGCCCGCCCGAATATCTTGTAGGCGTCGGTTCTACCAATTAAAATTTTTGCGATTCTGTGTCGCACAACTGTTACCCAAAATGCATCTTCCTGCTTAATGAAGCAATCGTTAAGATATTAACATAATTTTTATTTATAGTTATTGACTGAACGTATAAATAAAGTGCTCTATTTACGTCATAGCTACTTATTACCTTAGCATTTTGGGTTTCAAGCAGATTTATTATCATTACATTTTCTAAGGTCATAGGATTGAACCTCTTACAACTTTAGCTTATGAAATATATCTTATGCACATACACAACAATAGTTTATTTGGTTATGATTAACATTTCAAAAGTAAACGTACAACAGCCGTTGTGGTTTGGTTAAACTGCTGTTTAATCAGCGATACGTCTTGTGCATTATGCACATAAACCCACAGTTACAACAATAGTTTATTTGGATATGATTAGCATTTCAAAAGTAAATCATACTATCTAAACGTACAACAGCCATTGTGGTTAAGCTGCCATGCGACTAACTTCTTTTGACTTTTCCTTGATACTTATTCGCCATTCGAGTCGTTCGATTCCTAATTAATTTTCGCATTAACCGTCAAATACACATTTACACTAATGTTTCATGTAGATCTTCTTATCTACATATCTTATGAACCCCACCCGTCCCGATGGGAAAGCACAGGAAATATAGTGAAACTTTTTCCAATTAAAGTTTCATGTGCTTAACACACCAAGCGGTCATCATTTCTATACGTTTAGACTAAATTCCAATTTATTTAACCATGACAAAATTAATAAACTCGCAGTCATAATAGATACGTACAATAGGCTAAGTATTTTGAACGTTATATCGCATTACGCAATAGACATACACATATATGACACAAATCATTCCATTTCTGTTAAATGGAAGAAAAGGCTTGAGACACAAATAATAATATCAACTTACGTTTACGTTATTGAAAAAAAATAAATCATGACGTATTATTTAAATTGTCGCGGCTGATGCCGAAGCTGAAACTAACCAATGGAGTTAGAGAATAGAATCATGGCTTCAGCTTCAGCCCATCAGCAAATAGTTGCATAATGATAATTATTCATATGATATTATGTCATAATTATACCTCACCTGATTCCTCATCTAACTTTACCCCATATCTTCATACAACTTCATATGAAAGAGAGCCAACCTCCCTATACGTCTTACATATATTACTACTATGATCCGCCCGGAAGCCCAGAAACTATCGCATTATAACACCATTTACGACCAGGTTTGATGTACCCGCATTACGTTTTACTTTATTAACATTAAAACAATATCATCGGCTCAAAGTATATTTTTTTATGCCTTTCCGTTAATGATCGATAGGGGTCGTTATATATATATATTATTCTATATCTATATCTATATCCATATATAGAGAGAGTTGAACGCTCATATGCTATTTTTGTTCGTTGGGAAAGAAAATGCCTTCCTTCAGACGCCTTGACTTATACTTTTTCTCCGTTTTTTGATCTGAATCAGCTTGCCTCCAAATCCACGTGTAACATCAACAACATTTCGCTTGACAAAAAGATGAGCGTGAGCGTCAAAATCTCACTCACCACCACTAAAACTTTTTTATGGATATAAATTCTGTTGGAAAAGATTCATGTTCGCATATCGTTCCCATTCATCTTTATTGTAGTTGCTTGAATCCCGAGGGAATTTAGTGACTGAAAAAGAAACTAATTTACCGTTAAATCTTTGGAATCAGAGACAATATCACAAATTAAATAAATCTATAAAAGAAAAATCCAGAAAAAGTTTGTCCGTTAATGTTAAATATGTGTTTACTTTCCACTCTATAAACATATCCTGAACTCTAGCTTTTACTTCATTTCTCAATGTAAGTAGACCGTCACTGATTTCAATAAGCATGTGACTTTAATACGAATGAATAAATTTGTATGCAAAATTACTTCTATCGTCACAGAATTATATGAAGTCTATTTTACTATTGTTTCATTCTTAAATGTCTTATTACTAAGAAAAAATAAATTTGTCTGCCAATCGCATAAATATATAGATTGCATAGAAAGAACACTATTTTCCACTGTCGTCTTTACGAAATGCCAACTTACTACGTTGGTTCATGGTATATTCAGCTGATACCTTACCATATCCTATCTATTCCATCCTTACTACGACTACGTTTTCGTTTTGCAATTATTTTGCAATTAATAAAGTTGCGTTCCTCAGGCAGAAGAGCTGATCCTTTCTGTTAGCTTCGCATAGCATACTTTTCGCACAAAGTTTACATTCGATCTACATAAACAAGTACTATATTTGAATTAGCTCGTGATGAAAATAAAGCAATCTTATTATTATATTTCATTCCCATGAAACTGTATCACTAAAATGCTAATAAATGCTAGATAAACTGTGTGTTATTGTTTCTATCGAATATTTTTTTCTGCTGACAACTTATACCCCCCAAAACTGAATATATCTGACTTTCTATCCCGGTAGCAGAAGTGTCATATAAGCATCTAGGGTCAAAGACATGGAAGAGTTTCTTGAATGTCTGAACGACTTTTCTGTTGTAAAATCAGGTCCGACAAGCCAAAGTCTGTTATATTTGCCACACCGGCATGAATCAGAAGATTTCGAGAAGACTAATAACAAAATTGTAAATAAACTAAACGATATACAGAGACCCCTATATAAGTGCGACTTGACATTTATGTGCACTTAGGGAGTGTGCACTTATAGAACAACGAATAGAAACCAGAAACTGTTACACATAATAGTGACTAGTACTTTTCTCTTTATTATCTTATTATCAAAATTATACTATCACATCGAAGTCAGACTATACTTTAAGAAAAAGATGTGTCAATGTTAGTTTGACGCATTGAGCTTGTTTTCCTGACTTCAACAAACTTAATATTTTGTAAAGAGGTGATATATTGTCCTGTTGCAAAAGAAAGGCACGTACTATTTCCAAGCTAACGATTGGTGTGCTAGCGCTAATAACAGGACTTTCCTCACTATTACTATCATCTATGTCGTCTACATCCGTATTGCTTGATCAGTATCCAAGAGATATACAAGTTCGTGGTCGTTGTCGGGAATTTCATAAATAATATTCTCTTCAACAACTATTTACGATCGCTTAATTTGGAAAATGTGGTTAAAATTTTACTATTTTAGTAAATATCTTATGTCAATGTACAGTACTAATGACAGTACTAATAAGTGCATATTTGTGGCGTTTAATTGGCTGACTTTTTTAAATGTCACGTGCGTGCACTTATGGAGGTTATACAATTATATCTGGGACTCAAAAATAGTTTGCACGTGTAGAACATGGAGGGTGCACTTATAGAGGTGTCTCTGTAATATTATTGTACCATAACATCGATAATTACTTCGTCGTCAGCATATTCGAAGACCATAACATATCTTGTTAGCGAATCTTTTGATTAAGACTTCGTTAATATCATATTCATTGTTATGCTGTAACCTAAGTCATTCACTCCAAGGATCTAATGATGTTAGGGTGGTCATCGACCTTGCGATAAATCTTCAGCTATAAGTAAACAATAATATCCAAGCATAAACATTATCATTATAATTACCAACCTCCTTCACAAAGTTTCACCGTCATTTTCTGAATAAAGAAGCTTGTATGCGACCGTTCTACCAAGTGTCTTCGCTTTCGTCTTGAAACCTACACTATACGCTCCGTAACCGGTACACAACGAGTCAATAAAGAGTAAAACCGGATGCTCCACATCTCTTTAACCATTTTTTATCATGTTTGTAGAGCTGAAACACGTGACTAAATGATTAATCACGTAATTACTAGGTGTTAGTTACTCAATCACGTAACACTTGTCACACCACAATATGCCTCAATTATATGTATATACAAACTATAATATAATATACAAACGTAATAAACAGTTTTGTAAGTCCTAGTATGTCAAGAACGGATAGAAATAAACAATTTAATATTAGGGAATCAGAAAAAATGAATAGAAGTAAAAACATTTAGTAAGTTAAACGATTAGCAATAAACAGTTTTTTTAGAAAGTTAGAAAACAAATAGAACAAACATGTTAGATGTCTATCTATGTGGAATACTCACATGGGATGCCAAAGTTTCATAATCAAACTAATATAAAGCTATAAAACCAAAGCGTAACAAAGTATACAATAACAAAGCGATTATTTTCTGAACGCTTACTCCAAGTGAGGTCTTGC